ACATGTTTTGAGAGTCTGGGGATGGGCCACAGACTAGCTCCTCTCAGATGATAAAATAGTGACTAACACCCAGCCAGGTGTTAACTGACCATCACTGGCTATTCTCCAGCAGGGGAGTAAGGCCCGCTGACAGCAATTCCGGGCCCAAGGGCAGAACAGTCAGTGGGCCCCTTAGAAAGGGATGGCTGAGGTTTGATGTATGCAGGGCAGGCTGGAGCCGGGCCCCACGCTGCTGCTGGCCCAGCGTGGTGTCGCCACATGGGCACAGAGCTGGACTATGTGTGGCGGCTGGTGCGCACAAGCTGCACCTCCATGGATGCGGTCTGTGCCTGCACTGGCTGGTATCCAGTGGCTGCTGCTGGCTGTGTGCTCTTCCAGCACAGCTGGCATAGGCGCCAACTCGTGGATGCTCCGGGGCTGGAGCACCCAAGGGGAAAAAACAGTGGATGCTGAGCACACACCGGCAGACCCCCCCTACTAGAACCTCCTGCTCCCCGTAGCGCCTTCTGTCCACCAGCAGGTCCCACCAATCAACACCTACCGCCAGCTGCGGCTCAGCTGTTTCGCGGTGTCTGGAGGCTTGTGGGGGGAGGGTGCAGTGTGCTCGGGGGTGGGGGCAGAGGTGGGGTGGGGCAGAGCGGGGGTGGGAAGAAGCAAGGTGGGAGTGGGGCCTTTGGGGAAAGGGGTGACGTAGGGGCGGAGCTGGGGGGGAGCACCTCCCAGCAGATTAGAAACTCAGCACCTATGACAGCCAGGGCTTCCACATGCCCATCCGGCTGCCTTCGCCGCTGGCACCATGTAGGCGATTTAAAAGGGCCCGAGGCAGCGGCTGCTGCTGCTACTACTGCAGCAGCAGCAGCTGGGGCCCCCCGGGCCCTTTTAAATCACTTGGTCCCCTGGGCAATTGCCCCCTTTGTTCTCCCCCCCACCCTTGGCGGGCCTGAGGGGAATTGTAAACAAAGTCAGGTGCTTAAGCACACACATTATGGGGGCTGCCTAACCTCATGACACAGCAAAGATTTTTCCTGTACGTGGGAAGAAGTATAAATGAGGGACAGTGACATCACTTTGCCTGCCTCTTTCCCCCTCCCCCAATCTTGCCAAGCAAGATCATCGGGAAAACAAGAGATCTCCATTGATACTTTGGGAGAAGCTGGACCCAACTGAAAGGTGTTCTAGTTAGCATGAACTGCTGTGAAGTTTTGGGTGAGAAAAATCCCCTTGCTTTTAGAATTATTAGCCTGGTAAAGTTTAGGATTTAGACTGCAGCTGTCAAGGCTGATTCCCCACTCTGGCACTTCAAGTGCAGAAGGTGAGGGCCTGCAAGGGTTTTAAAAATTAATACTTGCCACTCCTGGCTTGTATTACACTCCCAAGATGACAGCTTTTCTCTGACCTTGGCTTGGTAAATGCTACCATCACCCAAATGGAAAAAAAACCCTTGAACCTAGGAAGGAGCACTTGGGAATTCCTAACTGGGGGGGGGGTACCCCTAAGCCTTTTCACCCCCTTCCGGGGAAGAGCTGAGAAAGAAAACAAAGGAAATCAGCTGTTGCCACGAGCTTCTTAAACAACATGTGCACAAACCTCTTAGGGACACACAAATCCAATCCTGTTCTTAAAAAAGGTAAAATTTATTAAAAACAAAGAGAAAGGAAATACATTTGGAACTTAGGTTTTTTGCTAGATCTTAAAAGAAACAATTACAACAATTAAGCATCAAGCTATCTCTTGAGGATCATCTTAAAGGTTACAAGCAAAACAAAAGCATCTGGGATTAGAACAGAGTAGTCCATTAGCCATAAGAAAT